TATAAGATCGCTCGTTAACCAGAAAAATATCATTACTTGATGTGTTTGGTATTATGATAGGATTCTGGGGGAGATGTGGGTATCTGGAGACTCTCAGCGCGTTTTCATACCGGCAACTCCAAACCCTGGCAAAGTGTCCAGTCTTCATTTTCCTAGGCCCTTCGCGGGCACGCATGCCAGATGGCCACACGAGAGTGGGCACTTCTTCTGTCGCAGCTACACCCTCAAAAGACCCAAACCCTAAACCCCAAACTCTAAACCCTATAAATCCTATAAACCCTATAAACCCTATAAACCCTATAAACCCTAAACCCTAAACCCCGAAACCCAGAAATGGCAACATTAGTCACACGTTGGTTATTCAGAATGTGTTTTTCGTTGTCGACCAAGGGGCCAGATGCATTCGTGGTATTGATGTTAGCAAGGGTGCAAACTCAGGTACACCAACACAGTCGCTGGTCAATGTGATGATCATTCAACAATACCCTAAACCCTAAACCCTAAACCCTAGCCCTTTCGGCCCAGCCTTCCAGAGGAGGGGCTGTTGCTGAACTGATAGGGCCATGGATTCTTGCGGAGAGTTAAGGGCTTGGTTTGATATGAAGCACAGCGTCAGTGGCTGGCGTCCTGGGCGATATTGGAATCGGTCATCGGTGGTTTATGTTACAATCAGGGAGGTGGATTCTGAAAGTATGGTTGCCACTGCGGAATTGATTGAACCTGTATTGTCATGTGCACTTGGGGCATCATGCTCTTTGAGAAGTATCTTGCGAACTGGAGTCCACATCGATCTTTCAGGTTCTCACCTGGATTCCTTGCGTGCAGGGTACAGTTAGGGTTTCTGATGCTTTACTGCATTTGCCTCATTCCAAGATACGTATTGTCTGCGTGTATGGGTACCATTCCAGCATTCCGAACAGTTTGGGACTCAATGATGCCCTTTTTTCAGAAGTGATTCAGCAGGCAGCTTCTTATCGGCTACCTACCATTGTGGCGGGTGACTTTAACATGCTGTTTCAAGATTCGCATTTGGCTGGGTCTTTTCTTCGGCAAGGTTTTGTTGATCTCGGGTTGAAGTTTGCCTGTCTTCGGGGAGGTCCTCCGGATCCGACTTATCGTGGTCGATCCAGATTGGACTATGCTTTCTGCAACGCCGCTGCTGATCATATGGTTCAATCTTTCGGAATTGATCCCAGGGGGTACACAGACCACGCATCTTTGCATATTCAGCTTGTTTGTCACATGCCTCGCACTGGACGTATGGTTTGGAGTATGCCTGTTGATTTGGCCTCTCAACCTGAGGTGCTAGCTAAAATTCAGGAATACAACGTGCCTCAGGAGAAGCAAAGTGAGTTTTGTAAACATATTGCTAGTCATTGCTTGGATGACGCGTTTCGTACTTTTGCGGAGTCGTTTGGGCACGTTGTTGCGAAAGCCCATGATAGCCTTGGGTTGGGGAACCTCCCAGTCAAGTTTTTGGGTAGAGCTCGTGGTCGCCTTCTACCGCAACGCAGCGCTGGCTATTCTCTTTCTAACAATGGTCACGTTTTGTCGGATCAGAAATCCTTTCGTTTGCGACAGCAATTGGTCAGAAACTTCGGGAGCTGGTACGGTCCATGGAGCAACAAATGCCACGCAATAATGCTCTGCGTGTGCAGCGTTGGCGTGCTATTGTCAATGCCCGGGGGTTTCCGAATGGTTTTCCTCAATGGATCCTGGAGAATGATATTGCAGATTATGTCCCGGAGGTGCCTTCTTTGCAATGGCTCCAATCAGTGCTTCAGGCAGTGCTTTATGAGGAAGAGCAGTGGGTTTCGGTGGTGAAGGCTAGGCAATACCAGCTGAATAAAGCCCGTATGGATGCGGATTGGGAGGCAGGGGGGTCCATGCACGCTGCCGCTTTGAAACAGATGTCCGCGCCCTCGCTTCAAAGCTTGGCGCAGGCTACTCCTGTTCAGGTGGCGCCGCTGAGAACCACTAAGGGTACGCCAGCTTCATATCGAGTTGTGCAAGGTCCTTTACCTCACCCAGGAGATGTTTGGAAAGTTGGGACGAACAAGGCTCTGGTCAAGCGGGTGGAAGGCGATTTTGTCACATTGGATGTGCCTTATAAGGAGGGAATGCGAGTCCGGGAGGTGAGCCATCTTACCTGGAACTCTGACCCGGCCTTCTTGGCCGGTGAAATTTCTTCTTTCTGGAAGCAGTTCTGGCATTCTCCCAAGCGAGCTGATTTGGATTTCATCCGGAATCAGCTTCGGTTCTTACCATCTCTGCAGCCGTTTGATGACCATATCTCTGTTGCCGAACTGCAGTGGGTTCTGAAGAAGTTGCCAAAGAAAAAAGCTCGAGGACTTGATGGGTTCTCGAATGCGGAATTGAAGGCGACGCCTGCTGACTTGCGCTCAATGCTGCTGACTTTATTAAATACGTTTACGCAAACGGCCGTTTGGCCCCAGGCACTCACACAAGCTGTGGTTTCTCTTTTGTCCAAGGTTGATGTCCCAACTGAGGCAAGTGATGCTCGTCCTATTACTATATTGGGCACGATCTACAGAGTGTGGGCAAAATGTATGACAATGAAGATTATTGTGCATGTTTTGCCATCGTTACCCTCAACTTTGTATGGATGTATTCCAGGGCGATCCCCCATGGATATGGCATGGTCGTTGCAATCCTCGATTGAAGAAACGTTTTATTCGCAGGCGTCGCTTGCAGGTGCATCAATGGACCTTACCAAGGGTTTTAACTTGATCCCGAGAGATGGTTTCCAGGCAATTGCATCTCAGCTTGGATGGCCCAACACGTTGCTTAGGGCCCATGATGCTTTTCTGAGAGGGCTTAATCGGTTTTTCTGTTTTGACGGGACTTTGTATCACCCCACTTCCTCGTCAGTTGGAGTTCCAGAGGGTTGCCCTATATCTGTGGCGGCTATGATGGTTATTACTTGGGTTGCAGACGCGCGCATGAGAGCGATGACGCATGTATCCTTACACAGTTATGTGGACAACTGGTCTGTTCAGCACAGCGATGCAAACATAGTTCTGCAAGCTACAGAAAATGCAGTGGAGACAATTGAGTCGTTGGCCATGTCTATGTCTTTTGACAAGCTGAAGATGTACGCCACAGATGTGAAAGCGCGAAAGTTCCTGAGAGCTTCCCAAATCTCAGGTCACTCTCTGCAAGTGGTTCATGACTTTAAGGATTTAGGCGTTTTCTTTTGTGCTGTTCAGCGTCAAACAGCCAAAGGGTTCAATGCCAGATTCGAGAAGATGCAGCACCGTTTTCAAAACTTCAAGTGGTTCGGTGGTCTGACTTTCGTAAAGCCAAGAGTTTATCCAGAGTCATTTTGCCTGGAGTTCTTTTTGGGTCTGAGCTGGTGCATATATCGGCTAGTTCATTTCGCAAGCTGCGTGGAAGGTGTTCTTCGGCCCTTTGGGGTCGATCGAACCAGCGGGATCACTTTCTCGCGCCGCTCCTTTCTGCAGCAGATATCTATGAGCCATTTTTAATCGTTTTTCAAAAGCGATGGCAATCACTTCAGAAAGCAATAAGACAGGATCCATTGAATATAGTGCGGCGTTGGAACATGGTTCTTGCAGCGGGCCACAGTACGCTTGTGGGTCCCATATCGTATTTTCAAGAGCAATTGGCTTTGATTCGTTGGACGCCGCTTCCAAATGCTGAGGTTCTTGATCAACATGGGAGTCGCTGGAGTATCAAGGATAACTCGTTTTCTGACTTTCGCTACCAGCTTCATGAGGCATGGGTGTGTTTTATTGTTCCGAAGGTTAGAAAGGATGAGCATTTTCAAGGACTGGAGGCGTTTCATGTTGATTGTTGTCGTGCAAGTATGGGAGATGCAAAGCAATATAACACTTGCCGGGCCAACTACTCCGTGGGTGCCATTATGAACACGGCTGTGAAGAGCAAGTTTTTACAAGAATCTCAAGCGAAGTGCCATTTATGTGGCCAGGATGGGGGAGCTTGTCATATTCTATTCCACTGTTCAGGCACTCAGGCTGTTCGTGACAGCATACAGCTTGATGATCTGCAGCGTAGCCCTAACGCGGTTAGGGTTGCGGGGTTGTTTCCAGTGCCGTCTCAGCAAGCCAATCACTTCCGATTGTTGCGTGAAATTCCTGATGTTCAGTTTGAACGGATTTTGGATGAGTCAGTTCATTTTTTCACTGATGGGTCTACAAAGTACGGCACCAACCAATGTCTGGCTTTGTCATCATGGGCTATCGTGAGGGCCTCCCCTGAATCGCTGCAGTCAGTGAAGGTGGCGTCTGGTTGTCTGCCGGGTGCTTTGCAGACAAACAACAAGGCTGAGCTTTACGCCATCTGGCAGGTGTTAAGACACGCTGTCTCTGGTATTATATACACGGATAGTAAATATTGTTTTCACGGCTGCCGTCTGTTGCAACGACGAGGCTGGATCGAGTCTGATTGGCGCAGATGTTCTCATTATGGCTTGTGGAGGAAAGTCTGGGAAGCTTTTGGTAATCACACTGAACAATGGCAGTTCGTCAAGGTCGCCAGTCATCAACGTCATGATCAGGCGCATTCTTTTTTCGCTTTGTGGTGTTCTACTCATAACGATGCTGCAGACGGTGAAGCGAAGAGAGCAAATCTGTTTCGGACAAGTGCCTTCTGGAACAATCATAGTCATCTTCAACGCGTTTTTCGTGACAGAGGTCAAGCTCAGAAGAAGCTGGCACTGCTACAAGACAGAGTTTCCGCTATTTCAAAACGTATGGCTGCTGACGCTGGTCAGCAGGTGTGGGATATTGCTGAAGATCTTTGGGCCATTCATAGAAACAAGCTTCGGATGCTGCAGAATGATAGATTCCAGCCAATGCCATCGGGGGAGCTAGAGTTTGATGGCGTTGGATTTCTTATGCATCAGCCATTCGCAACACTGCTTTGGGACTTTCTGCGGCATCAGCAGTGGAGTTCTGATTCTGATGGTTTCTCTCTTTATGAGCTGTATTTTTTATTTACACGCCGCACTGGTTGGCTGGCTCCTGTTAATATTGCGAAAATTCCAAGTAAGCAGAGGCCGCTGGCGTTGCAATCTTGTATTGCCAAGGCATGCTGGGCTCATGAGACTGATTGGGCTCATCTTCTGCTAGTGCGTCCTACGCTATCAGAGCAATGTCGCATTTTCTTCTTCATTCTGAGAGCTATTTTTCACCGTATGTCTATTCCTTGGCAGATAGTTGAGGGAAAGGCTTTAAGATGTATAGGTATCAATTTTAAAGTGCAGTGTCTTCATTGGAGACCCCTCTGTACTTGTGATAGTTCCACCCTGATTGATGCTTTAAGAGTCTTTCTGGGCGGGAATCCCACGCGTCGTGGTCTGCAATCGATTTACTCGATTTCTACGGCTGCTGTGGCGAGGCCTGTTCCGTTAATGTCATTCGATAGTCTTTGGAGGTTGCACAGACGACCACATTAAGCTTATGAGGTCTATTCCTCCTTTGTAGTAATCCACAAGTGATTTCGCTTCTGGATTGTCCATGGGACCGCTTGCATAAACCCTAAACCCTAAACCCTAAACCCTAAACCCTAAGCCCAAGGACCCAAGGAACGGAAAGCAGCAAGGTGCACGAGCACCAACCTATCAACGTGACAGTGTCAAGGAGCATCTTCCACTCCGTAAGATAGCTCCAACATGGCTGAACACAGAGACTCCAAAACCCCCTTGAGTCAGGAACCTCCCTTAAATAATAATAGGAACCCTAATATGATCTAAGGTATATTCCTTAACTCAAGAATATCCCTTAAATTCTAATAGGAGAGCCCTCCTCTGATGTGAGGTATACTCCTTACTTGAGAGGTTTTGGAGTCTCCGGGTGACACTCCTTGCTCCCCCCACCTGGCCAAGCTTGTCGCGCTGCCGCCGCAGCACAGCGCAGTCGTTGGCCTTCCAAGCAGCTTGGGTTTGTTCCCAAGCAAGCGTCGGAAACCCTAAAACCCTAAAACCCTAAAACCCTAAAACCCTAAAACCCTAAAACCCTAAAACCCTCAATCCCTAAAACCCTAAAACCCTAAAACCCTAAAACCCTAAAACCCTAAAACCCTAAAACCCTAAAACCCTAACACCCTAAAACCTTAAAACCCTAAAACCCTAAAACCCTAAAACCCTAACAACCCTCAATCCCCTAAAACCCTCAATCCCCAAAACTCCATAGGCGCTCATACGCCCAAGGAGACATGAGCTTATGGTTGTGGTCCGGTTCAGGGTTTAGGGTTTAGGGTTTAGGGTTTAGGGTTTAGGGTTTAGGGTTTAGGGTTTAGGGTTTAGGGTTTAGGGTTTAGGGTTTAGGGTTTAGGGTTTAGGGTTTAGGGTTTAGGGTTTAGGGTGATTATTTGAAGGTTTCCGTAAGTTAGGGGTACCCTTATCGGGGTACCTCCCATAAACAACCTCTACACCAGGACACATAGTTGCATCCTCTCCGACCCCCCCCCACCCCCCGGCCCCTAAACCCTAGACCCTAAACCCTGAACCCTAAACCCTAAACCCTAAGCCCTGAACCCTAGACCCTAAACGGATCCATCCCCGCCCGCCCGCCCCCGACCTTCACCATTTCCAAGCAGGCGCCTTCCAGTCGGCCGCCGCTACCGAATACCTGGAGTTCAGGGTTTCAGGGTTTAGGGTTTAGGGTTCTAGGGTTTTAGGGTTTTAGGGTTTTTGGGTTTTAGGGTTTTAGGGTTTTAGGGTTCTAGGGTTCAGGGTTCAAGGGTTCAAGGGTTCAAGGGTTCAAGGGTTCAAGGGTTCAAGGGTTCAAGGGTTCAAGGGTTCAAGGGTTCAAGGGTTCAAGGGTTCAAGGGTTCAAGGGTTCAAGGGTTCAAGGGTTTTAGGGTTTTAGGGTTTTAGGGGTTTAGGAATTAGGGCTTGAAGCAACCCTCAGCCCCAACACTTAAAACCCTTTGAAAAACCAACCCAGAAACTACTGTGCCCCTAAACTGGCCCTAACAACAAAAGCACCAGAAACCCTAAAAACCCAAATCCGAAACCATGGAGCTTGGGCTTTCAAGGGTGTCGGGAGTCGAGGGTTCCGGATTTCTGGATTGAGCATTTCAGGGTTCAGGGACTTCACAGAGTGCAGGGCTTAGGGCTTAGGGTTCGAGGTTTAGGCTTGAGGCGCTAGAACTCAAGGTTTGTGGTTTCGGGCTGGGGGTCGGGGGTGCGAGCTTTGGGGTTTAGGGTCTGCGGTTGGGGATGTTCCCCTTATACTAACAGTCCTGAGTAGGGACTGTTAGTATAAGCGCGCTCCATACCAGGGTCCCGACTTTCTGGGCAAACCTTCAGCCCAATGGCTGGCAGTGCCGCAGCACCCCCCAAGCTCCCCGCCAGCTCCAACCCAAAAAGGAATCCTAAGAAAACCTGAGGCAACCCCCTGATTACCCCAAACCCTGAAACCCGCAGAACCAAGCCGGGGCCTGGCCCAAGAAGGCCAGGACGCGCTGCTTCCTGTGGAAGCAGGTTGTGGGGGATAGGTTAAGAGGGTCTAGAGGGTCTGACCTGAAAATACCTAAGTTACTGCTTGAGGGTTTTTAAGGTTAAGGGTTTAGGGTAACCCCTGAACCCCTGTAACCCGAAACCAAGGAAACCTTAACTTCAGGTTGCCTTGGTTTAGGGTTTGAGGAGTTTAGGGGCTGCCCGCCTCAGCCCTAAACCCTTTACCCCAAAAGCCGCCCAGGTTCGACAGCATCGTCACCAATTCGGCTTCCACCTTGTCCACAAGATCCTGCGTTGCACCAACTTGGGTTTAGGGCTCAGGGTTCAGGGTTTAGGGTTTAGGGTCTTTGGGAGTAGCGTTTGGGGGATTGCTCTAGATTAGGGTCCCTTGCGGGTGATCCTTTGTATAACTGAGTCCTTTCTCAAAAAGACGCCTCTCAGGCTAGAACACCCCCCCCCCCCCCCCCACTTAAACTCACCTGAGCTTTCACTGATACAGATGGCCCCAAGATGAACGAACAGCACACTTGACGGTTTCGTTTTGGGACGTTCCCCTTACACTGACAGTCCTTTATAGGGATTATAATCGGGGGCACTATAATTATAATCCCTATTAAGAAGGGGAAACCTCCCAAGTTTCGTTTCCTGACGCCTAAGCTTTGATGACTTAACGCCAGGGAATCCCCAGGGTCTTTCAGGCAGAACTGGTCGGCCAGCTTCCGCACAGCGAAGGCGAACGTTGCATCCCCGCCTCAGAGAAGCTCTGTGGCTTACAAGGGCTGCTCAACTATGTGGGGCTTAGGGTCTCGCGTCTCGGGTTGAGGACTCCAGTATGGGGTTTCACAGCGAGACTACTTAGGGCTCAGAGATCATGAAACAGCGATTCCCATCCCGCCGCCGAAAAGCGGCGGCTGCACCTACCACACCCGAAAAACCCCCTCAAACGCCCTGTAGAACCCTCTGAAACCCTTCCACCCTTCAAGCCTAAGCAACCCCTCCCTTAAAGCCCTGGTAAACCCTAAACCCTAAACCCTAAACCCTAAACTCCTCTCAGCTGCCAGAGAAGAAGCGGCCGGACATGAGGTAGGACAGCACCGCATCCAGGGAGCTCCGCTGGATGTGGGGACTCCTTAGAGCACTTAGAACCGGCGTCTTCTCACCGGCGAGGTGTGGGGTTTAGGGTTTAGGGTTTGGGTTTAGGGTTCAGGGTTCAGGGTTCAGGGTTCAGGGTTCAGGGTTCAGGGTTCAGGGTTCAGGGTTCAGGGTTTAGGGTTCATGGTTTAGGGTCTGGGGTGTGGCTCTTTCGGAGGACTCAGTGCCTCCTTGTCAACCGCCCGGCATGCGCCATTTGTTGAATTTCTGGCCGGGAACTGGTAAGTCTGGCAAGTTCTTACTGCCCAGAAAGGAAATACGTCCAGCCTGACTCCAAGCCGTGAACGGCCCAAAGCACAATTTCTGGGGTCTATCTGCAACCGTCCCTTCTCTCTGACGAGACTTTTGAGGTCGCTACTCCAGAGATGCGCACGCGCTCCGCAATCTTCCCGAAACGGACAAGAACTGAACGCGCAGGGCCTTGTAGAATTTAGGCCTGTTGAAGATCATACACACGAGAAGCCTACTCGGAACCCTAAACCCCTAAACCCTGAGACCCCAGAACTTCGCCATCCCGAGGCTCATGCTCAGGTCGACCTCATTCGTCTGACCTTCTCGCCACTTGGAGGCCAGCATCTCCCGGAAATATTCCGAGCGCTCGCTCAGTATGCCTTAGGTTGCAGGGCTTAAGCCCTCAGGGTCTGCGGGGGCCTGGCGTAGGCACATGGGAGGATGAAGGCGCTAAAAAAAGTTTGGGCCTCTGCATCTTGTCAAGTCGGGGTCCTCTCTCGTTTCAGCTGCCTTCGGTGCCGTAGGTGGGTGCTTTTTGCACTGGCTTGCCGTGAGCTCAGTCTTGCAACCTAAACTGAACCTTATTATGAATCCCTTCATACCTGCATGCTCAGATACACACTGCTACCCTCAGCAATAAGCGCCTCTTCACCCGAACAAAGGGCTGGAAATCCCCGCAACTCCCATAAATCTTCATTCCTAAAGCCCATGATCAGTCAAAGGAGCGCTTGTCAAAGAGCAACGGGGGCCCTTCAGAAAGCCGTAGCCTTGGCTGGAGCTCGGCGGGAGCCGCACTCTGAGTCAGGAGCTCAATGGGGCTGGCTTCTTGCATACGAATACATCGATGTGTGTCCGTGCTAGATATCCCTTTGGGGTTCATGCTTTGGGCGGTTCTCAGGGCGCTGGGACAAGGGCTTAGGTACAGAGCACGTGGACTGTGAAGCTCTGAGCCTAATTCACCCCTCAACCCTAAACCCTAAACCCTAAACCCCTAAATCCTAAACCCTAAACCCTAAAGCCCTAAACCCTTTCATACTTGTGTGCGGTTCTCCATGGCGGCCCAGAGACGTCACAAAGGCCGCCTCTTGCCTCGGCCAAGTGATTGCAAGGCAGCAGACGACAAGCTTTTGGGCTTCTATTTCCCTGCTGTGGGGGGAGTAGGGTGACCCCCCTAGTTTGGGCAACTGGACTCTTGAGGTCGTTCCGTGCAAAGCATCCCCCCTTGCTTGCTGCCAGCTGCTTGTGGGCCTTAGGGTATCTGATCTCCGACGACAGCATTCATCCAGCTTGGGGGGCAGGGGTTCTGAGGTGAGGGGTTATGCAAGCCTCCATTGCCTTCAGGTCCTGAGGCAATTCACTTGAGGATTGCATACGAAATCTATGGGCCCTGTGGGTGATCTCTGTTGCACTGTCAACCTGACTCTGAAACTCCAAGCCCTAACCAAGAAAGCGAGCCCGACTTGGCCAGCTCCCTACACCCTGAACCCTAAACCCTAAAACCCCTACACCCTAAACCGCAAACCCCTAAACCCTAAACCTTAAACCCTAAACCTTGAACCCCAAACCTTAAACCCTAAATCCTAAACCGTAAATCCCTAAACCCTAAACCCTAAACCCTAAACCCTAAACCCTAAACCCTAAACCCTAAACCCTAAACCCTAAACCCTAAACCCTAAACAACAAAGCTGAAGGGCCAGGGCGCGTGAAGTCCAGCGGCTGGCCGCGGCAAGGCGGGTCAGTGAAGGGCAGCTCCACGTGGCCTGGGCTTTTGGGAGTTTCTTGTAGGGTTTAGGGTTTAGGGTTGGGGTTTAGGGTTTAATTAGGGTTTAGGGTTTAGGGTTTAGGGTTTAGGGTCTAGGGTTTAGGGTACAAGCCAGAAAAGGGTTCGGGGGTTCAGGGTTTGAGTTTTGTAGGGCTTTGCGGTTCAGGGCCGTTTTGGGGCTTAGGATGAAAGGTGTTTGGCTTCGGGGCTCGCGGCAGAGGAATGCTCCAGCTTTGCCCTACACTTTTGCTGCGCGCCTCATGAGAAGCAGCTGGTTTGTGATTTTTCATTTGTTCTGAAGTTTAAGAATTTTTGTGATTTGGGGGCCTAGGGTGGAGAGGCTGAAACCAATGAGTGGGGCTTGAACATGTCAGCGTTCTGTGATGCTCCTTAAACGATCGCGAGTCCTAAGAAAAAAACTGCACACGGTCCAGCCTTACAGGACTTTGGGCTTAGGGACTTAGGGATTACGGGGTTTAAGGCTTTAAAATTCAGGGAATTGGGGGCTTACGAGAATGGGGACCCCTAATCTAGACCCCCAAATAGTAGGATTCCATTATAACAAGGACCCCCAAATTCGTAAACCCCCCCCCCCCATTTTAGGGTCCAAGGGTTTCATTGGTGAACAGCCACGTGTCCTTGCAATCGAAGGCCGCCGGCCTTCGAGATTGCCGAAATCAGAAGCAATGCAAGAGACATGGGGTCGTTCTCTACAATTTAGTAAACCCTAAACCCTAAACCCTAAACCCTAAACCCTAAACCCGAAACCCTAAACCCTAAAAACCCTAAACCCTAAACCCTAAACCCTAAACCCTAAACCCTAAACCCTAAACCCTAAACCCTAAACCCTAAACCCTAAACCCTAAACCCTAAACCCTACACACAGGGATGAGAACTATCCACCTGCAGGTTTCAAAACATTAGGCCCCCCAAACGCCCGACTCGGCTCGGCTCCTGGTCCCTCGGAGGCTTCGGGCTTAGGGGTTGCGGCTGTTAGGGTTTAGGGTTTAGGGTTTAGGGTTTAGGGTTTAGGGTTTAGGGTTTAGGGTTTAGGGTTTAGGGTTTACGGTTTAGGGGTTGCGGCTGATTAACTAGGCTGATGAAGAAATTCATAGTTCAGCAATACTACAAAAAGGAGAGAAAGTGTTTCACGCAAATAAATGACTACATATATATATATATATGCAAGACTTATCTATCTACTTATTGGGTATACATCTGCGAGCTTTGCGTTTTGGGGCTTGGGATTTGGCTGAATTTCTTGGAAAGCCCGTGGGGCCTTCAGCCAGCCTGGTTCGCGCGTGATCCTGTCCAAACTCAAGAAGTTGCCTTGGCAATGGGCTTTTGGACTCAAGGCGATCTTAGGGCGTTGGGCATTTTGGAGGCTCTGGGGTTTGAGGCCTTCAGTCTTCGAGGGTTTCGGACCCTAAAAGTCTGAACCCCCACTCCTCCACTCTCAACAAAGTGAACTCTGAACCCAATATCCTCACACCCTAGACCATAAAGGTAGCTACTTCATGCACCAACAGCCACAGTCTGACTCGGACCAACGAACACACACACACACACACACACACACCCGTACACACACACACACACACACACACACACACACACACACACACACACACACACACACACACCCACCCGCGCGCGCACACACACACACACACACACACACGTGTGCACACACGCGCACACACACACACACACACACACACACACACACGTGTGCACACACGCGCACACACACACACACACACACATGCACACGGTTTCAGCCCCCCCCCTCTCTGATAGGACAGGGCACACCACCCTTGGTCTGAAACCTTGTTGGTGAAGATGAAGACCCCGCCCTCGCGGCGGAAGTTCCAGAGCTCATCGAGGTACTCATAAAGCCTTAGACGTCCGAACTCGTTCACGGACGGATAGTCTGCATGCCGGGCACCCCTAGAATGCCAACTACAGACCTGGGCGCTGAAGCCTACATAGCCTGTTGAAATGGATTCTGTAGGCAGTAGCCAGTAAGGGAGATCGGAGTCCGTGTGGTGTGCATTCGGTGTGAAATCTTCGGAGGGATCGCGAAGACGTAAAAAACACAAAGTGCGATGATGATGATGATGATGATGATGATGATGATGATGATGATGATGATGATGATGACGATGACGAAAATGACGACGCTGGTGACGATGATGTTCGGGCGCTTCGCAAGAACGACCGCATAATTCATCGGAAATTCACAAAGATGGGGCGGGGGGCGGGGGGAGGGGGGGGGGGGGAGCGTTCCGCCGCCAAGGGTTCAGCCACAGGAGCATGGAGATCTCGAAGCGCGCCTTGCATGCCCAGTCGATCTTTGCCAGGGCTGGAGGCGGGAGGATCTCGATATACGCGCTGACGCTCACGGCCTCGAAGTCGCCATGCCCTGCATGCACCAGGTTCAAGGTTTATGGGTGTCCATGTGTATAAAGGTTACGTATATATGTGGAGATGTATAAATACAGGGCACATATTATGTATAGAGAGAGAGATTGAGAGAAAAAAACATGAGGACAATATAAGGCGTGTTTTGTTCATTAGACTGCATATGTATAGCTGTATAGCTTGATGATTTGAGGAACTAGTTGAGAGCCTGTAGCATCCCGTCGTCTTGCTTGCATCTCACTACCTACTCCTAAGCTCCAAGGAGATCCCCGCAGCCCTTGAATGGTTCAAGGAATCATGTGCAATCCACGTGCTATCCAGCTGTGCTTGTCCAGGACTTCTCCTCCCTTACACGAGGGTCTTGGAACGAAACTTGAGCACACTTGCCCAACCTGTCCAAAACCCTAGACCTTAAACCCCACACCCCAAACCTAAACCCCAGCCGGACTCAGAACATCTACGCCGCACGTCTGAGATCTCCATCAGGCCTCTCGGGTAGACGGAAAGCCGAAACCGAAAGGAGTGCTCTGGGCCCGCGATCTGCGAGTAGATATACCTTTCATGCAGACTTTTGTCCTTATTGCAGGGGCCCGGGGGGGGGGGGGGGTCCGGGCTACAAAGGTTTAAGGGAAAGGAGGGTTTCAGAGCTTGAGGTTGGTAGAATGGGAGTGTCCGAAATGAGAGGCACCTTATTGGGGTCCTGATTCTTCAGGGATCCTACTCTATATTAAGGGCCCCCTATTTTCATAAAAACCTATTTTCGTAAACCCCCCGAATCTCTGCTCGAAAGCTCTGGGATGGCCGAAGGTGCAAGTCGACCAGTCTCTTGGATCTGCGCAGAGCCCTCCTAAGGGCCCTACCTCCTATAGCCAAACCCAGCCCTCGCACCAGAAGGGCAGCCTTCAAAAATGATGGCACCTTTGTGGGTACTGTACCCTAAAGATTTCGGGGCCGCCTTATGACAGTAACTCCCACAAAAAGGGACCGTACTTTAGAGAAATGACGAACAAGGAGGCCCAAAGTGCCAAAACCTTTTTTTGGGACGCTACACAACACCCGGCTTCTTGGGGGGCTCTTAAGCTGTGAATTGGGATGTTCGCCCTTATGCCAACTGTCCTCAATTAATAGCGATTATACTACCCCCCCCTACTATCATCCCTATTCAGGGCTCTTAGTCGAAGGGGGAACATCCCAAGCTATAACACTAAACCCTAAACCCTAAACCCTAAACCCTAAACCCTAAACCCTAAGCCCTAAGCCCTAAGCCCTAAACCCTAAACCCTAAACCCTAAACCCTAAACCCTAAACCCTAAACCCTAAACCCTAAACCCTAAACCCTAAACCTTAAACTAAACCCTCAACCCTAAACCCTAAACCCTAAAGCCGAGACGCTCGCCCGGGGGCAGCTTCAGGTCTTGCTCACCGAGGCGGAAATCCACGGTGTACCAGTGCGCGGACACCTCTGCGCAGAGGGCAAGCTTTTTGGGGGGGTTTGGAGTTTTGCAGGCTGGGCTTGAGGGCTTGAGGGTTTAGGGTTTAGGGTTTTGGGTTTTGGGTTTTGGGTTTTGGGTTTTGGGTACAACTTACAAAATAAGAACTTTTCAGGGTGGTTGCTGCAAGAACTTAGTGCAGAAGCATGTACGCATAAATGGGTTTAAGCTGGTCCAGGGCCGTGCGAGGAAGTCACGCCGTGTCAGTTGTTGCTCGGAAAACAACAACTTGGAGCGAGTTGCTTACATGTTAACAAAATACACTTTCATATCTGTATACATATATACATATGTACACATTTATGTATCTTATCTATGTATATATATATATATGTATGTATGTATGTATGTATGTATGTATGTATGTATGTATGTATGTATGTATGTATGTATGTATGTATGTATGTATGTCATGTATATTGGATATTACTATGCGTATTAAGTTGTATTCTATCCTACACCCCGCAGCCCTTTGAAGCCACCTGGCTCGCTGCCGTTGCCGAAGCTGCAGCTGCCATCAGCTCAGGTGGGCAAACAACTGCGAATTCCATGCGCAAGAGGTTTAGGGTTTAGGGTTTAGGGTTTAGGGTTTAGGGTTTAGGGTTTAGGGTTTAGGGTTTAGGGTTTAGGGTTAGGGTTTGGGGTAGCACCAAACTCTCTCGTTTGGGAGTGGATGTGGAGAGAGGCTTGGATACACGCACTTGTCGCCTAAGAGGTATGAAGTCGAGAGGGGGAGGGGGTTACAGGCTCTCATGTCTGTCTAAACTTGACCGTCTTGAGCCAGCCTTTGACCATACAGAAGAACAGGTGTGAGGGGAGCCTAGCTCGACGACCAGTCCACAGAACGCTAAAGGGTCCTAAACCCTAAACCCATCAAAGCCCGATTTTCAGTGTATGTACCGTACACTCCATGTGAACTGACATGAACCGACCCGGGTCAACACCCGCCTCTGCTTGGGCGCTGGTTTGGAACCTTGCAAGGGGCCGAGCTGGCTTTTCAGAAGAGTATTTCGCGGACTTAACATGATTTACAGGGCTTCTGGGGTTCATAGGGTTTACAGAGCTTCAAGGTCTTAGGATATAAGGTTGACTACGGTGACGAGACATGACTGACCTGGCTTGCAAGAGGGCTATTCGAAGATAAAATCCTACCACCTGTAGCAGAAGAAAGCCGCCCCTTTGTCAGGCAGAACGGGTTCACAAGGTAACCTGTCGCTTCAGACAAAAAATTTAGGAAACCACTGTCGCACCAGAAAGAAACACAACATTTAACTGGCCAGTCCATGATCTCACTGAGCCCGACCTTGCACCTACACTTGAAATATAGCGAAGGTCGAAGAGACTCAGAGTCACAACCTGCGAGGCTCATCCAAAAGGTGGTTGCTTCAGCTTACGCCCCCTTGTGGGGGGGGTTCTTTTTATCCGGAGCCTTGCATTTGGGGCAGGAGGCTGCCCACAACAGAGAATATGATCTCACAGGCCCTCACCGATCTGAGGCCCGCACTTTACCCAGGCTGTTTCCTTCCTCCGCGCTTCCACAGGTGGTACCCAGCAGGAGGTTACCTTGCACTAGCAAACAACTGACAGCGTGATGCGGGGGCTCTCTCTGTCAGAACCCAATACGTAGATCGCGACCAAAGTGCCAAAAATGGACAAGGGCGAAAGCAGACAAGCTTCGGTGCCTGAAGATGGCTAAGAAGCCTATCCAGATCAAAAGCCCTGAAAAGGAAAACCACGCAGCGGACGTGGGCATTCTTGCCGTGCCATGAGGGAGACCCTAAGCCTAAACCCTAAACCCTGAACCCTGAACCCTAAACCCTATACCGCTGCCTCACCGAACTGCGAGAACATGCTCTTCAGCGACATCCGGCCTCAGCAACCGAGTTCAGGAATCTATCCTCAACCATGATTGCTGGAGACCAAGATCCTGTGTATGAACCCTTAACCACGTAGGGTACTACACTCCGGTGCCCCCCCTCCCCCCCAACCCCCCTACCCGGCCCGAAAAAAGCTCCGACACCCACCCCAAAACGGCAAACCACGCTGACAGTGAGTGGGATCTGTGCCAACCCGACTCCTACAAACGAGTTCATCCCATGAGGGGTCTAGGAGCTTAGGGCTTCTGCTTTAGGGCTTCCAAGAGGCTACCTTCTTGGGGGGTTTGGGGTGCAAATGGTGCTTCGGGCGCCGAGGGTCAGGATTGCTCCATGGCCGATGCTACTCTATGCTCTTAGGCTCTATTCGACCATGTTGCATCCTACGTGCTTGCTTCAGGTGCCTTGCGTTTCCGGCGACTTGCGCATCGCCCTTGAGCCGCTGTATGGAAACCTCAACCCGAAAGCCTAAACCCCACAAACCCTAAACCCTCCATAAACCCTATATAAACCCTAAACCCCTAACCCGAAACCCTGGAGCCTAAGGCTTCGAAACCATCCCAGCTGGGTACACGTCCCAGGTCCAAGGGCCGCCAGTTACTGCTTCGTTGAGGCAGGTTCTTCACGGCTGCTAGGGATTTCGGATTTCAGGGCGAATAGAAAAAGGGTCGGTTACTATATGTAGCCTACCAAGTCTAGGGGTTAGGGATGCTTCGTGTTGAGGGTCTATACGTAGGTAGAAGAGGGGGAGGGCTTGCACATTAGAGGATGATGTAGGTCTGCAATCACTGAAAGGTAGGGGGGGCGGCTTCATGAACTCAATGGGCGGCCCTCCTTTCCCCGGGCTTCGGACTGGAGAACTCGGTGATGCCAGCAGTCAAATTCCTGGGCACACTCGTGCTTCCCGTTTAGCAACTTAAGCTTGACGGCTTCGGCCTGAATGGTTGTGGAGCTCTTGAGGATCTAAGGGACGGGCTCTTTATTTTATGCAGCTGCGTTGTGGAACCCCAGCCTGACGACCACAACAGCAAACACAAGCCTGGAAACCCCGTGCCCAGAGGCAATCAAGACCAACCGCGCGAGAGAAGATGGTTTAGGGTTTAGGGTTCAGGGCTTAGGGTTTATAGGGTTTGAACAAAACGAAGGGCCCAAATCGACCGGGATCAGTTCTGAGAATCGCGCGCTCAAGGCCCTCTATCCGTAAACCTCACAACTAAGACAAAACCAACTGGAAGACAAGGGTACAGAGGAGCTCCCGAAGGTTTTCCACAACAGGGTTGTTCTGGGTCTCAAGCCCTTAAAACCCTAAACGCTTTAAACTCCCTAATGTTGGAGCCTGAATAATTAGAATAGGGTTCTGGGGGTAAAAACAGTATATAATTATGAAGCGAATATTGTTAGTAATAATTCCGACCCCTATAGCTATACTGAACTTGGAACCCCAGCAAAAATTATATTTTTTTGCTGTTTCTTAGGAATTATAGTACCCAAAAATTAGAAATTTTTCCAAGTACCCCTAAGATAGTAAGTCCCAATACGCCAAGGCGCAGAGCCAAGCGAGCCATGGTCGAGGCTCTGCGCCGCGCGGACGCGCGGCGAGATCTGCTCCGACCCTGGGATCCTAAACCCACCCGGAACCCCAAAGCCCGGACCTTGCAAAGATCTAAGATGAAGCTGAGTGTACATGTGTATAGGACTTCTGCCATACATATGAAATATACATATCATACCATATACACTTGCATATTGGTTAAAACAAGTGCATCTACTTGCATATACCTATTCTCCGCACCCAGGTTGCTGTAGTAAAGGCTGCGAGGGGGCTTGAAGGCTTAGGGCCCCTACGGGCATCAGGGCCTAGGGTGTTCTGCGTTGCGCGGCTTCGAACCCTGTGGTAGGCTTCTTGAAGCCATTGCTCCTTACCAGGCCCTGCTGTGTGCGCATGTGGATGGGGCTCCCCCTTTGATCAGCCTAAGTGGCCTCCTGACGGCGCGGGCGAGATTGTTGCACACAAGAATGGACAGAAAATGTTCAGCACATGGGTTGCAGAATCTAAGGTTTCACACCATTACGGGTCATCCACGCTCTTCCCACTCAGTACACCCTAGTAATTGCTTGATGTTTCGGTGTTGCTTGATGTGAAGGCGACTGTGGGTCAGAAAAGGAACTACATGAAGCTTGATTTGGAGGCGTTCGTGCGACGTTGCCCCATGAGCTGGTGAGTTCCATAAGATTCCGTGCTTAGAGGGGCGACAGTCCATCACATGATGCTTGGCAAGGACGATGCGGGTGACAGGTAGTAACCAAGACCTCTACCTGTGCACAATTGCATGGGACATATACCTGAAAACAAAACCCCCAACCTTAAAACTACACCCTAATCCCCTCACCTCACCTTGTATCAAGCCGCAGTTTAGGCAGGTAACAGGGGCTCGGTCTTCATTGTGGACAATCTTTCGCACCCTTGCTGACAAACCAAAAGAGGATTCAAGACTTAGATTTAGATCGCTCCCCCCGAGTGAATTGGCCCTACTCCTCACCTGGGGAGGCACGCAATGGCAAAGCCGCTTGAGCTGCCGCTTTTTGTCAGAGGCTCTGCCAAGCTGACGCCCTAGTCCTAAACCCTAAGCCCTAGGCACTAAACCTTAAACCCCAAAGCCTAAACCCTCAAACCTAAACCCTAAAGCCTGAGCCCTAAACCCTGAACCCTGCGTCTTGAAGCACTCCAGATCAAAGGATGCTTCACATGAGTTCAGGAGAATCCATAAGTGGTTTGTGAGGTTTCCTTCGGAATTGCTGACGCGTGTAGATAGGGAATGTCATATCGCTGGATACATGACATACAAAACCATGGACAACAGGCACAGGCACTCGCCCAGCACCCGGATACTCACCTTTCT